ATTTCTTCGAACTTCAAAATAATCACTTATTTCAAGAACATCTCAAATTATTTTAAATATAAAGCAGAAATGAAATTGATATTTGCATTTAACTTTCTAAACCTTATTTACTGATATATCACAATTATGTAAAACAATTAATTTACAATTTGGTCCCCGCTTGCATGAAATGGCGTCTTTCAAAAACAAATTTTACGTGTACAAAATTTCACATTTCCCAACGAAAGTGCATGTAAAATAAATTACCAATCAAGAATTATCAACTCGATCACAATATTTTTCAGAGCTGCGTTCGCTAGTTCAATTTATAAATCGATTGAAAAAGCATGCTTGTAAAGTAAAATTATATTCGAAACGTTCAAAATTTATACTGTTTTCGTTATTTTCTGAAAATAATTTGCGTATCTTGCAAAATTAACGTAAAATTTAAAAATGGTCAGTATATTAAAACATAATATGTTCTATTTATCTCTATAAGTAAAAGAAAATGTATAATATTTGAAATAACGATTCCAACTTTTTTTCGTTTTCAGTTAAGTAGATATTTACGAAGCCAAGTAACCTATATGTTACGACACCTACAACACACAAGTTAAGTATTGCTTTCATACAATACGATCAATTTAATTTTAAACAGTCGTTCAGAATGAAATTATTACTAAAATATCGCAATGATGTTATTTTATTTTACGGATTGATCTTAGAAGATTGATTGTATTGTATAAAACTTTCCTTCTACTTCATAGATTTTACTAGAAATTCAAGTCATTTTCTAAAACTAGAAATATATAGTTTACTAATTATTTAAGAGTAAAATACAGCTTGAGTCTGTATGTTTATTTTTCGAATTTTTGAAAGCGATTTTGTACAAAAAAGCACAATGATCTCTTGTGTGTCAAAAAATTACAGAGCTATTTTGAAATAGGTTATGAATTGAAAAGTTTTGGAACAAGTTAACAATTATTTAAAAGGTTGTAGATAAACGTAATGCCAAAATGAATTTTTACAATCTTGAGGTAGCGTGTATGTCGCTAAAAGCGATTGGTCATTCTAAACTGAATCTAAATGTATTATATGTACATATATAATTTTTAATTCTTATTGACGATGAAAAGTTTTTAACATATATTAAATCTGCCGAAAATTGTTGATCGATAACTGAATGCTAGGTTATATATATATATATATATATATATATATATATACAATATATATATATATATATATATATACTTATACATATATATGTATATATATATATATATATATATATATATATATATTAGAGATGGGATTATCATATCCGACCGGATCGGTTAGAATTTGGCTCCGCTTCAGGGAGGAGTTATGTCAGCCTAACAACTCCACGACGACAACTTTGAATTATCAATAAAATAATTTTTCTAAAAAATTCACAAATAAATAATGGGTTGTAAAATTTTTCGGTGACTCGTAATATTATCAGTATTGACCAAAGTAAAAAAGCAAAACTTGAGAATCAAATTCAATTTAATTATGTTCTTTTGATAAGAAAATAATTGATTTTTTGGATTCATTTTATATAAAAAATAATGTAGTAAACTTTGTAATAAAAGCAAAACCTTTATCATAAACTATTTTCACCAAATAATAATATTTCTGCTTTTTAAATTTTTCTTCTGCTAATTATACATTTGAGCTATTCACACTTGAACACAATTTCATTGTTCTGTATCTTTAAAGTAATATTTTTGTATTTTCTGGAAAATACACTATGGCATTATTTTGACTCGTATACCTAAAAGGTCATAAAACTGCCTGTGAGACAAGAAAGCGACCGCTTCCTTCCCAAAGCAAAAACGCAGTAACAGATTTAATACCAGTTTAGGAAAGTCGAATATGACAACATCTCCGACAGAACTCCGCTCAGATTCACTTGTTTCGGAGTGATAACTCCGGAGTGAGAGACCCATCTCTAATATATATATATATATATATATATATATATATATATATATATATATATTATTGATACACATATTTGGGGTATGTAAGTAGGTATGTATGTATGTATGTACATATATATATATATATATATATATATATATATATATATATATATATACATACATACATACATTCTTTTGCAAAGATTTACAATTTCGACTTTCGATATTCGATTTAAGTAGTTCAGAATTAACAGCAAAATAACCAGAATAGGTATTCGACCTGAAAAAGGTCGAAAATTGCACGAAAAAAATTACGCAACTTATCTAAGCTTCGGCAATTTCTTTAATAATTATAAAATTAATGTTTTCAAATGAATTAATAATAATTAGGTTCTTGTATTTAATTTTGTAAAATTTGAATTGAATGAAACTATTAGGTATTTATATTGTAAATGAGAGTTTGACAGGAAATTTAATTTGAAATTTTTGAGTTATATGCAAGAACCTAAATATAAAAAAACTGAAAAGTAATTTCACATCCTCACACCAATTATATTATTGATACACTATATAATATAATTCTGTATAAATCCTTTTTTATCATACCCTACCTGTTAAAAGTACTATTAAGCAAATATCACAGAGGAAAACATTTGCTTTTCTTAGGAGCATTCAAAATATCATCAGATTTTCCCTTTTGCAGCCGGAAAAATGATTTTTTTACATCTTTTGATTTTGGTTTTGGATTTTGATCTGATATTTCAGCATCTACCTTATCCATTGAATTGATTGGACAATTTTGATCCGTGATAGAAATTTTGCTGTTTTCGTTTGTCATTGCTATACTTTCTATATTTATTAATCGCAATTTCTGCATTGAATGTCGTAGAGGAATTTTGGTAATCACCGGAGATAGTTCTGATTCTATACCTTCAGATTTGGTTTTGATATCTCGTGTATTTGATTCCATACTTTCAGATTTGGCTTCCATATTTTGAGTATCTGATTCCGCACTAAATTTATTTTCATTTTCATTCTGTTCTTGTGACGAACAAAGTGAATTATTAGGGTCTTTCATCTGTTCTCTTAACTGTTGAGCTCTTGCTGCACATTTCTCAATTTTCTCAAAAGCATTTATCGCCATCCATATACTACGCGATGCTTCGCACTCCTTTTTGTCCATGCTTTCTTCATTGATATCACAAAATCCGGAAATTTCTTCAGTTTCAGAAGAATAATCAATGAGTGACTGCATGTCTTGCTCTGTTGCATCTTTAATGCAATTTTTATCACTTTCAAAAAGCATTTCATTTATGAGTGTTGAATGGGATCCTGAATAACTTTGCTTACCACTTATATCAGAAGCTAGAATTTTATCTGTGTTATCTTCATCCTCAGGGTCAAAATTATGCATAACCTCAACATTTACATCAAGTAAATTATTTCTTTCTGTAATTTTCGTTAACGTATTATTTTCCACAAATTCGTCTTCTTGTTTTACGAATTGATAGATATTTGACGGTTTATTAGTCCCATCAACAAAATTATGAGAAACTTTCTCGCCATCTGGTAGCCGCTTAGGATTTTCATCATACAGCTCTATTCTCTCAGTAACACTATAGGTATCTGCTGGAGATCTATCCGATGACAAACTTTCCTCTTCGATTGTTGTAGAATTACTTTTTAACGAAGAAGTCATTTCTTCTTTATCAATCCCTCTTTGATGCACTAAACGGCCTCTACTGATTTTATTACTGTTACCATTATCTTGATGCAAAGAAACATCTTCATTTGAAGCAAAAACATCTGATAAAAAACTTGTGCTGTCATCTTGCGGGATTTCTTCAAGAGCAGCATCAGCTATCAATTTCCCGACAGTGGGACTGTCTTCATCATCTATTGGACGAAATTCTGAATTGCACCATTCAAATAAAGGTCGATCTTTAAGGCTTGGAATAATATCTCTTTTGAACGAATGCTTCTTTTTCTGTGTCGCCCCAACACATAATTCATACTGATCAGTGACATTGTAGTTCTGTATGGACAATGACAATTGAGTTGGTTTACGCATAATATCATGAGCTGATAATGAAAGAGTATTTGGTGTACCAAAATTATTGAACTCTTCTATTATTTCTATTGCTGAATTATTGTCAGCCGTTGATTTCGATCGTTCAATATTTTTGTCAGATTTATGAAGAGGCTTTGTGCGAATATGCGGTGAACTTCTGCTTTCTCGTCTGTAATCTTTTGTTGGAACGTCTTCTTTGAATACATCATCGTAATGAGAACCTGGTCCATACAATGAAGAAAAGTCTTCAGAACAAAACTTTTCGAATAGTTCCGTGGCACTCAATCGCATTGAGCCAGTTTTGTTATAAAATGCCTCCGTAGGTGATCTATCATACAAAGCACTAGTACTTAACCGTTTTGATTTTTCTAATTTATGTTGTTTTTTATTACGGCCAAAATGTTTTTCAAACAAACCGCCCCCACTGCTATGCATAGAATTCGAGTCTTGCAACGAGGACGCACTTTCACAGTCCGTTCTTGATTTTTTCCGCTCGGCAAAAGTGTGGACGGATCTTTTAGAGGGTACCGGAGAACTTTCTTCTGCGGAGAGATTTTTAGAACGCAGCTTAGAATCGGACAAGCGCGACGAGATTCCATCGCACTTTGCTTTGTTTTCTTCATCAAAAGTGTGGCCACAATGTCTGTTGTACATTTCTCGACGCCTGATTGGGTCGCGATCCAAAGACATGCCCGATTCAAATCTGGACATATCTTTCAAACTGTCACGACTGCGATCCAGAGAGGCGCCGTCCGATTTGTATCCACGCTGAACAATCTCCACGTCATCCGGTGATCCTATAGCGATGCCCATAAGCCCCGCACAGAGTTGTGGCGGACGTCGAGATATTTCGTTCGGCGCAATTTCTTTCGAGTCAACGGACAAGCCGTGATTTAAAGTCAGTTGCGAAGGCCGGTCTAATGACATTACTGCGCGGCTGCGACGCATTTTTTCTGCCACGCTGGGTTTTGTGTCTTGAGATACGACGCGTCCGCCACAACGAGGCAAAGTTACATCGGTCGCCAATGAACCAGCGACGGCGCCAGCAGCACCATCTTCGGGTGTACGAGGCAGTGCGGCGCCGCGGCCGCTCTCAATAAACCATAGGCCGTCCTGTAACTCGCACTCTCACTTCTTTTCATTCATGTCCTTGTTTAAATAGTGCAACACGTAATGCAACACCAAGTCATAGCAGTACTTATATTCTGTCATGTTTTCTACCAACTGTGGTCGATGTCGTCGGACTGTCTTCACTGCCTGGAAAATGTCCACCTCGCCGTGCTGAATCACTTGCTCGATACAAGCATTCGCGGCACAATAAACACCGACCCGAGATCTCCCGTCCCTGCAAAATAGAAAAACGATTGTTTAGCATTGTTTTAAAGTTAATTAAAACCATATTATAGCTAAATATAAATAAATTGTTATATCAATTATAATATTATATTTACGGTGAGACTACACAAACGGGTCCATAGTCCGTACGCTGTCTCCAACGCTCCACCATGTTCATTAGTTCCACTAGACTATTCGTAGACGTCGGTACTTTGTGTCCCATAGGCCAACACGTCAATTGGAATAATTGTACAGTCCTTGGTGGTGCTTTCACACCTGCCATAAGTTCAGTCAGAGACACGATCTAAAATAAATAAATTAATAAATAATATATTTTGAAGTACAAAATATATTTTGAACATTTACCTTTTTGTTGATGCGAAATACCCAAGATTTTATGTTACTGTAGTGGTTATGAGAAATATGATCTATAGTGAACACAGGACCGTATTTCTTTGAATGTCGTCCATCTGGCCAAAACGATGGATATTGTTGCTAAAAATAAATAAATTTATATATCTATTATCAAATGTATAGATATAGACATTAAAATTTACCGAATTTTTGGGGGGTAGGCAAAGTATTACAACGGCAGCGCATTCATAGTCGTAAACAAGGGACCAGAATTCTCCGCAAGTTCCTTTCAAAGGCCATTCCGTAACTATATATTCCCGAGGCTTAGTATAGCCCTATAATTATTTTTTCATTATTATATGCAATAATCACTATTACAAAATGCACTTACGTCAACAAACACAGCATTTATGTAATCCGTAAAGGCGTTTCCTTGAAACGATGTTAAATACGGTCTAAAGTTATCAGCTGCAAAAATAAAAATATATAAATAAAATGATACATATCGTGTTTTTTTAAATCGAATCAATACATTGTTTTATATTTAAAAAAGTATTAAGCAGTATTATATAGATTTTTATTAATTGTCCTGAACATGAAAAAGTCTATAGACAATCAGTAATTTTTATTTTAAATTAAAATTATAGTATTTTGTAGTTTAGCAAAAAATCAGCTTTCAGCTTTTACAAAAAATCAGTCATATTTTATTTTAAATTAGTAAAATTTAAACTAATCTACTTATTATTTTTTATAATATTCTCTCTATAAACTTACGAGGAACAACCAAAACATCTCGATTTTTTTCCCTGTTATCTCCACGATGTCCACCGGCGCAGTCACCAATGGTAAATCGTGGAGTCTGTTTGCAAATTTGCGCATATTCACGTTGATATTCGTTCATCTTCGTAGTTGGATGTCGCAAAGATTTTTGCTTAAGACGTGCGGACAAATCGCGAACCGGAAACCAAGAGTTTCCACATACAATGTACTCTTCCAGAGTATCGTACACAAATTTATATTGTTCCTGAAAAAATAAGTTAAAGACTGAAAAAAATCATTTACATAAATTTGAAAAGCATAAATTCTTATCAAGATATTTATTGTCATAAAGATGGTTATTTTCACTTTATTATAATAATATTTTAACATCAATAGAGATTGCAAGCAATCAATGTGCAACAGGCAGCAAACAAATTTTTGATTTTAAAAAATATGATGACAAAATTAATAAAAATTAAGTACTCACAAGATTTTCTATAAGTCCTTTTCTACTTTGGCGTAATTTTTTAAGATAACCAAAAACATCAAAGGCGTCTTCCTCTTCTCCTAATTCCATATTTGCATCAATTGCTAGATAAACACCAGATCGACCACCTCCATCACTGTATATAATACGAAAGTCGTATAGTAAAACGCTTAACCATATGAAATTCATATTAATTTTAATTTTTAGTCTGGGAGTCATTACAAATAATTAAATCTAAGTAATTTTGGAGAACATAATCAATTCTAAAGTCATGTCTGACTATGGGCCATTTGTTCATGATTCAATCATGCCCTATTGCTAATTTTGTTGACAATCTCAGATTTTTTAAATTTTTTATTTAAAAAGTTACGAAATAAAAACAATGAGTAAAACGCGTAGCATTATTTTCTATAACTTTTGATTATCAAATTTAATTTAGGGGAAAAAGGAATTTATTCGATTTTCTGTTTTTGCTATATAATAATAAGTTATTTTAAATATCAGCGAAATATTAATTTTTGTTTACCTAACAGTAATAAAATTAGATTAGTTTTTTATAAAGCCGTCAAGAATACTTTCACTTTTATCGTTGTTTCTTTACAAATGATATAATTTGAGTGTTTATTAATTACAATTGCTAAAGCTTGCCAAAAACATGTTCGAGTTTATGATTTGTATTAGATCGGTAATAAAATAAAAATAGCTTTTAATCTTGCTATTTGTTACATAATTTATTAGATTGATTATTTTAACTAATAAATGCTACAAATGCAAGGCTATAAGGTTCTTACTTGCAGTGGACAACCATGGGACCGCTGTCCGTACTGGAAACAATTCGGTGACCAACAACTGCCCGAACTCTCCTCCTGAACTCCAAAATAGCGTTGCCAAAGGGGCAACTGTGAGAATGCCATTCTGTATAATGAAACTGAAGAAGCGTTCTCTCTTCCGTCACTTCCTATAAAAAAGTACAAAAATATAATCAAAATGTGTCCCTAAAACTCAATATGAGTTAAAGACATTTGAATAGCTACATAGATTGCTAATTGTATGTTAATCTATAAAAAAATAATTGTGATAATTACAAATTTACTTATTATTGGCACTTTATATATCTAACTGTTTTCCTTTAATTACTGTTATTCTATAAATAATGAATATTAAATCCAACGATTATAATCTATTTAATATTTAACAAAAAATATAAATAATTTTTTATTAATTGTTAATTAATTAATTTACAAATATAATAAATTCAATAATCAAAAATACGAAAAAGTAAAATAAATTGTATTATTTGCTAATTTTTTAAATTTGATTTAAATTCCACAAAAGTTTTCGAAATGTAATAATATATTTTTGTAGATCATACAAATAAATATTATAAGTACTATAGTCATATATATATATATATATATATATATATATATATATATATATATATATATATATATATATATATATATGAGTAAGTTCTTCAAGGGCATACATCAAATAAAAGGCAAAGATTTAGAAGTTAATATTTAATTTTTCCAAACGTTTCGACATAGTATTTTATGTCATCATCAGTTTATATTCACATAAATTTATATTTATATTTTATTCACATTACATTTATATTTTATTCACATAAAATACTATGTCGAAACGTTTGGAAAAATTGAAGATTAACTTCTAAATTTTTGCCTTTTATTTGATGTATGCCCTTACTCATTTTCTCAACATCAAAACTAACTTCTTTAACACACACACACATATATATATATATATATATATATATATATATATAGCAGTAATAAAAAAAAATATCATTAATTAGTATTTATTATTATTCTGAATATCTAAAAAATGTACAATAAAAAGTATTTTAAATACCCACGCTAGTATTAAAATATAAACTTTTTTCTATAAAAGTGTAATCAATGATACTGTATTAATTGAGTTCTACATCGCTCGTTGAAGTTTAGTACGTCTTTTTCGAATTTAGCCATTTTTCTTGACTGCAAGTCTTCCACATAAACACTCAATCCAGTATGTGGACACAGACAACCTCGCATTGCTTCCAAATAGTAATTGGAAAAATCTTTGAACTCTACGACCCACATTAGACGTAACTGTAACCTTTTGGATAAAACTGAGTAAAGGGAATTCGTGCAATCGACTCTTCCGTAGCGATGACCTCGTTCCTTGCCCATGACAAAAGTCTGCTTCATCAGCATCTGTGCGATCCCGTGGCCTCTGGCCGTGGTATCCGTCGAAAGCATATTCAACTCCCAAACACGATGATCAGGGTTCTGGGAAATCTCGTGCAGATACTTAAAATGCGCAAGATACTCTAAGTACCGTTGCAGAGAACTGTCCGTAGTCGCTTTGGCTAGTTTTGTCAAAACATCTTTTTCTATTGTGGTGGCACTCGATCCAATGGCAATCCCCAGAACAGTTTGTTCCGGGCATGCTGACACTGCCATCACGCACATGCTGTTGTGCAACTTTTCAATTAATATTCGTTCTATGCTTTGGTGGAAACCTGATAAACTGTAGGTACGAATCAAAGGATCACTCTGGAAATAGTTGTTTCGGAAGTATTGCAACACCACATTGTAATATTCTGGTCCGATTACCCTGAGCTGGTAGTACGGGTAAGTTACCTGCATCAGTAAATAGAATACAAAAAAAAGTAAATATGCATTATGTGTAGAATTAAATCTAATAATTTAATTACAGAAATAAAAAAATACTTTGGGACAGTTAGAGTAAGCTTGTGTATTGAAGGTTTAAAAATTTGCTGGGTTGACAACGGATTCAAATATCTCATCGAAATATTTTTCAAAAAAATAGATAAATTTAATATAAATTATACGTTGAATTTAGAAAAATTGAATGTAATTACATACATATTATAAAAACAATATCTTTATTATCAAATAGACATTTCAAAAATTTTTTGTAATACTTACCCCATTGACAAGGTTTTCAGCGATCGGATAATTGGACACGGCACTTTCTTTTTTAATCGAGTCATGTGTATACCTCGCAAATAATTGCAATGTGTTTCGGGTTGCTCCTTTGAATTTGTACATTTTAAAGAATTTAGATGTTCGTTACAAAGAATTTTGATATTTTTCTTGATTTTTTTGTTTTGAAATATTACAAGATATCAAATGTTTTACGGTTACATGCTAGTCAGATTAACAAAATTAAGTGTCAAAGTCGGTATTCATTTGTTGTTCTGTCAACAAAAATTATCAAAATTTAATTGTTGAAATACATAATTAAACTAGTTGGTATTGGTATTTTGCCTTGAGGCAAATTACATGAACTTCCCGAAATGTATAAATAATCGACTAAATCAATAAAAAATAAATTAACTTATGAGTGATTAAAAGTATTCCGAGTGGATTTATTACACATAATTGAAAACCTTGAACAAAAACGTTAACTCGGAGTATTTTTTAAAAGCAAATTTTCAAAAATCAACAATTTTTAAACTTGAACCAGTTGCCGTAGGACTTTAATGATTTAGTGTGTGCATTGAGACCAAGTAAATCGTGTAATTTTAATTTTAACAAACGTCAAAAAAAACTACTTCTTTTCTCAAACTTTGATAAATTTTAAAAATTAAACTGCTTGTCGTAAGGCCGTATTATTTCCGTAAGATTTATAAGACCATGATATATATCGCCAAAAAAAGTTTCATAAAAATCGGTTTAAATTTTTTTTCAACAGTTAATTTTCACCTAAAACTAATCAGTATTATTCCCAACTAATATCATTAAAATAGTTTTTGATTTTTTAAAATCGATTCGGTAGAATGAGCTTTAATGTGAACGAAAAGTTTAACACTTTTTTTTTCAAATTACAAAGAAACGGCTTGGCAGATTGTCTCACAAAACTGACAAACTATAGTGCTCATTGAGATATATCGAATGGCTTTTAAATTTCTGAAATCGGTTCAGTCGTTTTTGAGCAAACGTCGATGAAATATACATCAAATCGCTTTTAAATTTTTGAAATCGATCCAGCCGTTTTTGAGAAAACGGCGATTTACGGCAAAAAATCTGTTGATGCACACGCACACACACACACACACATTCTTTTTCCAAATTTCATCTCATTCAGAATCGCTTGAAACGTCGAGAAAACATAAAATTAGCGAATCGGATTTTTTGATGAAAACAAACTTCTCCTTCGGGAAGTTAAAAATATCCTTTCATTTTTTGCTACTTTATAGATTTATAATCCGAATATTGAAATAATAACATCATGAGTATATATATATATATATATATATATATATATATATATATATTGTTATTTGGCTATATGATTTATTTGATAAAGAAGTTGACAGGGCCACGTGATCTAGAATATCAAATAGTGCTAGAATGTTCTAGAATGTTCCAAAAATTATAGGCAGAACCAAGAGCTCTAGAATGTTTTAGAATATTCAATAGTATAGTATAGTGCTAAAATGTTCTAGAATGTTCGAAAACAAAATGTATATATTGTGAACTTTTCGGACTTCTTTTACTCCTCGACCGAAAGCCTTCACCAAGTGTAGCCATAAAACAAATTAAAATGAATCAAGATCCATTTTGATCACCAAGAACCAAAAAAATATGAATTTTTACGACGTTTCTGTATTTAATGAAACTAGTAAATTCAGCAGTGATAATTAATTTTCCAATAAAATAAGTATTTTAAAATTATAGAATTATAGAATTTGTCTGATGAAACATACATACAAATAGATAATGGCTTAAGAAATAGGAGAGCTAGGGGCTTATTGTAGCAGGGAACTGTTACAACAATCCCTAAACTTTCCTACTAATAGAAAACATAAATACGTGAAATCACGTTAAGACAACTCCACTTGTCATTTTCTCGTGATAATCGCCATCACGATTATTTGACCGATTTATTATTGCTTATTATTATTATAGCTTGTTACTAAGCTCTCGCCCTCTACCTTAAGAGAGTATAAAAATATTTTATTTGTTTTTAAGATAAAGGAAGTTATTATGTTTTTACCCGGAAAACTTTAAGCCCCGTTCTATCCTACTTAATATTTTGAATAGTCTATTATCAATGAAAACTTACGTCAAAGTTTTTTTTATACAGTCGAAATGTCCTTATGTGAAAATTGGCTAGTTCTTCTTCTTGTAAAACTCCTATATGTATACCACCATAACATTCATCTTTTTCTTTTGAAGCTGGCCAGTATTGTACACACATGACCTGTAATAAAATTAATGAAAAACGATATAAAAATATAGAACCGTTACTGGTAACTGATTAAATTGAATAAAAATAACATTTCATTATCCATACTGACTAAAGATGAGATAAGATTTCTATCCAACATACTCTGTGTAAGAATAGTTATATATCTAAATAATTTGAATCAGCTATATAAAACTAGATAATTTATGTTTCAGGATTTTCAGGAGAGTATAACAATTAACCTACTCTAGCTAGATAAACTAAATACCGTACTTCAATAGAAAAAATAAGAATGAACCAAGAATCAAGTTGTAGTATTGCATCAAGACAGCGCGCGACTTCACATATAAGGTTTGGTCAATCGCGAAAAGCTTTTACAGCTTGAATGGGACACAATGCCATACCCAACCCACCCGCCAAATTCTCCATAGTATCATCGGATTACTAGTATTAGCGGCGTTAAAAAATGAGAAGTTTACTGGCGAGTTAGTTAGTCTCAACTTGTGCATAGTCCTTTACGGATCAGAGACATGGGCTCTAGGATACGCCGACAAGAACAAACAGAAGTTTTGTAATGTGGTGTAGGGGAAGAATAGAGAGAATAAAGTAAACATATAAAATAACAAATAACAAATGACTAAACATGATCCTGAAAAGGAAAGAAAAGTGAATTGAAACCAGTCTGCAAAAAGAGTGCATCTTACATGATGCCATTGAATGTAAAATATAAAAGCTAAAAGGATTGGGAAGAAAAAGAATGTAGATGGTTGATAAATTACGCGAGAAAAAAATACAGAAAACTGAAAGCCTAGGACAGGACTAGAAAACATGGAAACAGAAGTTTGAAAACGAGAATACTTAAAAGCGAATAAAAAGACATTAATGGTATTAAATTAGTAATGGAAATAATAAACAACCGATTGAAAAGAAATTATGAATTTGTGTTGCTCTCACATCATGGACCTGCCTCCGGGCTTACTACAATTCATTATTATTGTATATTTGTATATATATATATATATATATATATATATATATAAGCAATAATTACCTTGATAAAATCGAATGTTTTGGTCAACATAACGATGGCGCTGGCTCGTTCCTGCCACACCATCCGCCAGAATTGTGTAACGGTTTCTTCTGTCGGCCCTTGGGTTACTATGTACGCATTTGGTTTTAACAAACTCTAGAATTTAAAATTATTTATTCATGAATAGAGTCTTGAAAATAGTTGAAACAATTCATCTAGTGTTAAATTAGGGTAAGAAAACACTGATTTCATATTTATGATAATTAATAAGTTTAAAATAACAAATGCTATTTAAAGATACACTAAAACATCAGTATGAATAAATTTTTTTAATCGCAAATTGCGTAATACAAAATTTATCCATGTTTTTCTGGCTTTTGAACCTTGTATAAAATTCTATTCAATTTTATTCATGATTATCATAATTTTTGTAAATTTACCTATTAGTTTTCGAAAAACCGGGACAATCCGGGACAAAAGATTTAAATTCGGGACGAATATTGCTTTTAGAAGAACCCGGGACAAAAGGTGAAAATCCGGGACTGTCCCGACCAAACCAGGACGTCATCTTACCATTTTTATCCGTCAAATAACTTTTTTCTTCTTTTTTATTGGATCTTCGAAACCGCTAAATCTGCCTTCCCAAAAATTTCACGAGTTCCTCATTATAAATAAAATGTTTTTTGAATCATTCAAGTCGGACGCTCGGTTCTCTCAGAAATTGAATTACCATTTTTGACACTTTTTGCCCCGTAGCTTCAAAACTGCTAAACCTGCCTTTGCCAAAAACTAATCAGCACGCCTCCTTATTAAAAGGTATCGAGAATGTTTTTTGAATCATGCAAATTGCTTGATTCCTGTTCTCAAAATCGTCTACAAGAAATTGTATCCGTACCTTGATACACACACATCCATTTTTTCTAAAGTATACCAAAATATTCAGAAACGTTTGAAACGTAACGATATATAATTTATTAAAGTTTTTTTGCGATTACTATAACTTACCAAACGAAAAGTAATAAATGCATCTGAAATATTATCAAAACGACTTTGATCAACTAATTTTTATTTTCAAATAATTACAAAAATTTCTTTCAGATTAAATCATATATCTTATATATAAAAATGAAGCTCTCGATCAAATGATCTGCTAAAACTCGAAAATGGCTAAACCGATTTGGCCTGCCTTAGTCTTTAAAAAATCGTGCTAATCAGTAGGTTGTCGGAAAGGTGTAGAAACTTTACATTTTTAATTTAAAAATTTTTGTAGAAGCGTCATTTGAATAAAACAATGGATGGTGGCTAATACGTCAAATGTCAAACGTTTTTGACAGATGATGTTCAATTACATTGAATAGAATGTTTTGCATGAATATTATTTAATTATGATTAAATTGTAGTAAGTAGTTTTGTTTGTAGTTTTATTTATACACAAAAACGTTATTAAACGCGTCGCAAGTGTTACTAGAAACTCAAAATATCAACTTTTTTGAAATGTTAATATGAAAATGCATTTTTTGGCGTTGTAGCAATCTTTTTTTGCAAATCATATTTTTCTCAAACACGGTGCTCTGAAAAATCTCATTTGTATAATTATATACTCATTGGTATTTATAAAACATTTTCAAGGTTATATTATTCTTTATTTATGTTATTTAAATTCAGAACCTAAATTTGGTATCGATCAAAGAGACATTTTGTCTAATAACATTTTCCCAGTTATAATTGCTCAGAATTTATCTAAAAATAGATAGTAATATATGAAGGTCCGGAGTTAAAAAGGTCCACGACCAATGTGTCAAAAAACGGTAAAGTTAAGCATTGTTTAACAAAGATATTTGAATTCTGTCTTAAGGCAATTACGGCATCGTGCCTTAAGGCAAATTGCTGGAACTTCCCGTGCCAAAAATTATTATTTTTTTAAAAACGATTAACATTTTTGAAAAAATTTTACTTCGAAAAAATAAGATTTTTTAGAAATTTTAAATTGGACAAAAAATTACTTTTTTTGAAAAAAAAAATTTTTAAACAATTTTTTTTATAAAATTTTTTTTTGGAAAAAATGTTATCTTCATTTTGACATATTTTGCAAGATCTGAACTTTTTTTCAAAGCAATCGTACTTCTTTAACTGCATAGAGACAAAATATAAAGCGCGTAAGCGCCGCGTCGCTGTCTAACGGAAAAACATTGGTACGGAACCCATAGGAATGTAAACAAAACTTATACTTATTGTTAAAATCTCAATAAAATATCTGATAATTTGATATGCATATGTCTAATGTCTAATGATTATTGTTGACCGCCAAATGTTATTTTTTTTTGTTTTTTTTTACTAGATCTCCGAAACCGCTAGACCTATCTTCATGAAAATTTGATCAAATCTTCATCTTGTTAATACAAGTAAAATGTTTTTTGAACTATACAAATCGGACGCTCCGTTCTCTTAAAAACTGAGTTACCGTTTTTGGCCCTTTTTGCCCCATATCTTCGGAACGGCTAGACCTGCCTTTGACAAAAACTAATCAGCACGTCTCCTTATCAATACGAATCGAATGTTTTTTGAATTATTCAAATTGCTTCATCCGTGTTCCCGAAATCGTCGACGAAAATTTGTATCCGAACACACACACATGCACGCACACACACACATACATCAATTTTCTCCAAAGTATGCCAACATATTCAGAAACCTCTGAAACGTGAAGATATATAAAAATTTTCATTTTCGATTTTTTTGCGATTACTTACCCTATGGAAAGTTAATTATAAATAAATTAATTTATCATCTCCAGAACATTAACAATCGTCATTTCATTTCGAATCAAATTCCAAAAAAAAATAGTTGCCAAATTTACACAAAATTGAAAAAGTGCTCCCGCATAGTCACAGTCTAAACGCATTTGCAAATAATTCTTTGCGACATTTTCACTTATACTGTGCTCAGCTTGGCGGCATTTTCACATTTTTCAATAATTTTCACAAAATTGGAAAAGTGCTCCAGTACACAAACAGTCTAAACGCACTTGGGTGAACATTTGTACCAGAGTGGCGCTTAGACTGTGCTTAGCTTGGGTGATTTTTTGAATTTTTAATCCAAAATTACAAAAAAAATTTTTTGAAAAAAAAATTATAAACAAAAATTTTTTTTTCCAAAATCAAAAACTCGATTTCTATTTTCTACATTTTTTGCTCCGTATTTCCGTAACGACTAGACGTACCTTTAACAAAAACTAATCAGCACATCTCCCTATCAATAGGAATCGAACCATTCAAATCGGTTGATCCGTGCGCCCGAAAACGTGAACAAAAAAATGTGGACACACAAAACACTCACAAAATATGTATGTGGATTGGAAGATTTATACACTTTCTATAGGAAACATAGTATAATCCATCCAAGTCTTTTTTGGTCTTTCGACTTATTGATTACGTTTCAAGTTTTTCACATTCTTTTTGGATTCTGGATTTTGTGTATAATTGTAAATAATACTACTGAGCTTATACAAAATTTTCAAATTTTTGCGAGGAGAGATAGAAAATAAATTAAGTATTTTTTTTGACCTGCTTTTTGAAAAGTTTCAAGTAACATTTGATGAATTAAAGTAAATTTAATAAACAGTATATATGTAATGCAGGGCGAGGCACGAAGGTTCAATTTGACTTTGAGCAAATATAAATTATATTGTGAAAACCATTGCAATTATATCACTACAAATAACACATATCAAACGAACAATTATCTGAGTTCAGTAAACTGCCTTCTACTTCATCATTGTAGAAATGTGCTTTTTTGATGTCTTTCAAAAATTTGTTATCTAGACCTTTTCACCCTATTGGCAGGGGCAGGTGGCAAAAAGGTTTAAAGCCTTATTATAGTTTTAAAGATATTTTACAAAATAATTACATTTTTAACTAATGCTAAAAAACTACCAAGGGAAGAAAATACTTTTATTATGGATTTTCAAAGATTATCGTTTATCTCACTCATTTCAAAAATTACCATTTTCAAATCAAGGTTGTAGCTGGTTATACATCTTTTTTTCTCTACTTTCAAATATTGTTGTTAAACAATGCTTAACTTTACTGATTTTTGACACATCGGTGGTGGACCTTATTAACCCCGGACCTTCATATATTACTATCTATTCTTCGATAAATTGTGGGGAATTATTACTGGGAAAATGTTATTTGACAAAATGTCCATTTGATCGATACCAAATTTAGGTTCTGAATTTAAATAACATAATAAAAAATAATATAACCTAGAAAATGAGTATATAATTATACAAATGAGATCTTTCAGAGCACCGTGTTTGAGAAAAATATGCCAAAAAGTGCATTTTCATATTAACATTTCAAAAAAGTTGATACTTTGAGTCTTAAGTAACACTTGTTGCCCGTTTACTAACGTTTTTGTATATAAATAAAACTACAAGCAAAACTACTCACTACAATTTAATCATAATTAAATAATATTTACGTAAAACATCTCATTAAACGTAATTGAACATCATCTGTCAAAAACGTTTGAAATTTCACGTAATAGCCATCGTCCATTGTTTTATTTAAATTACGCTTCTACAAAAATTTTCAAATGTGTAAAGTTTCTACGCGATTTTGAAATAATATCTCACCTTTCCGACCATCTCTGGATTGACATGAATTTTTCAAGACTAAGACTGGCCAAATCGGTTTAGCCGTTTTCGAATTTTACCGAATCATTTGATCGAGAGCTCCATTTTTATATATAAGATTAGCTCACCCGGCAAACGTTGTTTTGCTAAATAAGGTATATTCTAAACAATTTCTAGAGAATCAAAAATATTAATACTTCAAGTGTTTAAGGATGAGTTGTTTGAATGCTATATACATACAATGAGGTATTATAAAAACAATAAACCCCATTAGTTTGTCTATATTTTGTCAATACAATCAAATCAAAAATATAAACTATATTGTGAAAACCAAACCAATTATATCACAACAAATAACACATTTCAAACGAACAATTATCTGACTACGTTCAGTAAAACTGCCAGCTACTTCATCATTGTAGAAATGTGCTTTTTTGCTGTCTTTCAATTTTTTTTTACCTAGACCTTTATACCCTATAGGCGGAGTAACTTGGATTGGCCAGGTGGCAAACAGGTCTTGTCAATGTCTTATTTTAATTTCAAAGGTATTTTACAAAATAATTACATTTTTAACTAATGCTAAAAAACTACTAACAGAAGAATATACTTTTATTATGAATTTTCAAATATTACCGTTTATCTCCCGATAGCAAGGTCATGAGAATCTTTTTCCCTCTAATTTCAAATATTGTTGTTAAACAATGCTTAACTTCACTGGTTTTTGACACATCGGTGGTGGACCTTTTTAACCCCGAACCTTCATATATTACTAAATAAATAAATAAATTCTGGGAAATTATAACTGGGAAAATGTTATTCGACAAATTGTCCCTTTACCGATCGATACCAAATATAGGTTTTGTATTGAAATAACATAAATAAAAAATAATATAACCTAGAAAATGTTTTATAAATACCAATAATTATATTATTATACAAATGACATCTTTCAAAACATCGTATTTGAGAAAAATATGATTTGCAAAAAAAAGTGCTACAACGCCAAAAAGTGCATTTTCATATTAAATTTTAAAAAAGTTGATATTTTGAGTTTCTAGTAACACTTGCTATCCGTTTAATAACGTTTTTGTGTAAAACGCGAACGAAAAAATGCAGACACACAAAACACACACACAACCATTTATCCTAGTCTTGCTTTGCCAGCTTATAACTGGGGTTATAAACTCAAAAGAATCTCAGGAAGAAGGAAGAGTAATGCGTGAAGAGTAGTTTTACTAATAAGCCAACCTTTGTCAAGGGCAATGCAAGCTCAATAATAGACCTTACTTTTGTTAGCAATAGCCCCGTCAGAGAAAATTGCAATTGGAAGGTATTAGATATCTATACCACTAGCGACCACAATGCAATCATCTGGGAAATAACAACGAATAGAAACATTAGGAGACATGTAAATATATCTAAAGCCATTGGGTGAAAAATAATTTTTTTCGATGAAAGCGCCATAAGAGTAGCCCTAAATTGCAAACCTATTACTTCAGAATACGCTGAGGAGCATACTAAAGAGCTGATGTCAGTATATTTTGTAAACATGGCAAAGATCAAAGACAGTCTGTGCACTGGTAGAATAAACAAATCAGCTCTCATCGTAAAGAATGTGAAAAGGAAGATCTCTTAGCGGGGTTATATTCTCACAAATTCTGCAGAACTGGTAGTGGAATACAAACAGGCACGTCGGCAACTAAATAAAACTATCAAAGATAGTAAAGTTAGGTGTTGGAAAGAACTTCTGGATGAAGCCGAGAAAAACCCACAATGAAGGCCTTATAAGATTATAATGTCTAGCTTAAAAAGCCAGCCAATGCCTTCGCCAACTTGCCCACCACTATTGAATAAAACAGTAACTACCTTTTTTTAGATGCAGTAGTTGATGCTCCTAGCAGACATTCAGTACAGTTTTCGCAAAGAGCGATCAACTATCGATGCTATAAACTTGAAAGTTAATACCGCCAAGGAAGCAATTGCTGGAATCAGATAGAAAGGTGATGCGAAGAAGTACTGTCTAGTAGCCACATTAGGTATCAAAAATGCATTCAATTCTGCAAACTGGGATTGCATTATGAATGCACTCCGCGACAAGGACGTGCCAGTATACCTCTGCAATATAGTCGCAAGCTACTTTACAGACATAATTCTAATGTACAAGTTACGCGATGGTACAGAAAAATATAATATAACATAGGGTGTGCCGCAAGGCTCTGCTCTAGCTGTGGAATATTATGCAATCCAGCATGTGTGAAACTGGTAGCATATGCAGACGATGTAGCCATAGTAGTTGTTTCCAAACAAATTGATGAGATCGTAAGTCTATTTGATATAACCTTGAGAAAAATTAATCGCTGAATGGGAACAATAAACAATGAACAATGGAAAAAGTTGTGATGCTGTTCTCATCACGAGTAGAGACCATCAAACCAAAGATAGGAAAACTAGAGATCATGTCAAAACCTCACATCTGTTACCTTGACTTAATGCTCGGATGTTCGATTGAATTTGAATCAGCAGGTGGAACACGTTAGTGATAAGGCGTCAGTAGTTAGGACAAGTCTTGCTCGACTGATACCCAAAACAAACCAGAAGGATATTACTATCATCAGTGGTTACTTCAGTGCTTACATATGGTATCTCCATATGGACTGATGCTCTCAAAACTCAAAAACTGAAGAGAATGGCAGGGCCTATATATGGTCTGACTGCTTTAGGAGTTGCTTGTGCATTTCGGACAATATCGGAGGAAGCAGCGTGCGTCATTACAGGAACTCTGTCTCTCTTAGTTTTAGCACAGGAAGCAGAGAACAACTGAGTCCTGAAAAGTTGAGAATAGAAGAACGGCCGAACAGCATTGACCGATGGCAGCTACTATGGAAGGTCGCAGTAAAGGGCAGATGAACGCATTGCCTCATTCCAAACATCAAAGTTAAATCGCAAACATAGAGAAGTAAATTATTACACTAAGCAAATGCCTTGGGCACGGCTGTTTCGAGCCTACCTACACCACTTCAAGCACGATAACTCGCCGGATTGCTTATAATGTTTGGAAGAAATCGAAAATGCTGAGAATGTGTTCTTCGCGTGCCCGCGATTTAATGCTCTACGGAAGATGTAGAACAGATATTGAGCCAAAGAATTACTCTAGAAGTGATGCTGACAACTGAAGCTGCTTAAAACGCCGTAGACAGATTTTAAATGTGCTAATTGACCTGCGTTCTATGGAAAGAGAAAGGGTGAATGGGACTTCGCTCATTTAAAAGACAAGTATAAAATCAAGGTAAGAATGATAACATTCCCCCACGAAGTAATGACAGTGGGAACCAGAGGCAAGGAAAAAGCAGTGGTTTTAGTCGGTATTATATCCAGGCGGTATTGAGTCCGGCATACCCAAACAAAAGACCAGCCTCAGATGCATAAAGGCATACCTTCGCTATAAAAAAAAAAACACATCGACTTTTTCTGAAGTACGCCAAAATGTTCAGAAACCACTGAAATTTTTGGCCGATTACTATAACTTACCCTACGGAAAGTTAACAAATTGTTATTTTAGATAAAAGTTTAAAATTTTCCATAAACTCAAAAGAATCTGAACTTATATTAGCCAAGAACTAAAAAGAAATATTAAAAGTAGCCCACCCTTACCGCTTAGGGTTATGGCAAGTATAGTAGATGTTCAGCGATTCTCAGTCACACTGATTATAAAGAAAAAATCGGTCAAACCGTTCCAAAGAATTATTGTTGTTATTAAAATTAGAGGCCAATTCTGGCGTAGAATTCATGTAAACTTCACTTATTTGGCGTTAATTTTACATTATATATTTGGATTTCTAAAATTTATACTTACGTCGACATACGAGGCGTTAATATAATCAGAATCTGGCTCTCCTTCTAACGGATCTAGAACTACCCTATTATAGTCATCTGGAAAAGAAAACACATACATATAAATATCTTTATATATAAAAATGAATTATGATATTAAGTTAGTCTAGCTAAAACTTTAGCTTTCAATCAGTCGTCGTAGTCCAAAGAAAAGGTGAAAAAGTATTTAAAAATTTCTTAAAAACTGTACATGTTGAATATAATTTCACAATCGAAATGACTTGAAACAATGAATGCAAGATGATCGGTTTATTTGTCAATTGTCAAAAGCATGTGATATAAGTTATGTTTATTAAGTGATGTATCTTTTAATTTTAAAATTTACATCTAGTTAAATTTTGCACTTTGTCCGGAGGCAAGTTGAGTGAACTTTCCGATGTGTGTAAATAGTCGATAATAATGTGATTTATATATGATCTACCTGTCTACCTGTTTACCCGTCCACCTGTCTAATTGTCGAAGTGTCTACCTGTCAAAATGTTTACCTGTCGATGTGCCTACCTGTTTACATTTTTAGCCGTCTATTTATTCGCCTGTCTACTTCTCTACCAGTCAACAAATCTACCAGCCTATATGTTCGCTATCTACATATTCACCTGTCTACCTGCCTGACTGTTCACCTGCCTACCTTTTCACCTGTTTGTCTATTTACTTATCTACCTCTTCACTTATATATTATACCTGCATACCTGTCTAACTTGTCACCAGACTGTCTGTTCACTGGCCTGTTTACCTGTCCACCTGCTCATCTGTCTACATGTTAAAATATCTACATAGTTACCCGTCCATATTATTAGCTGTCGAAGAGTATATCTCTCTACATTTAACGACAGTTTATCTGCCAACATATATACTTTTCAGCCTGTCTATCTGTCGAACGATCCAACCGTTTACCTGTGTACCTGTGTGCTTGTCTACTTTTGTACTTCTACCTATATGATCACTCGCCTATCTATTCATCTGTTCAAATATTTAGCTGTCTAACTACCAACCCATTCTTCATTCAGCGCTCGAAGCGAACACATCGATTATACAATACCTGAGTACAATCAACAAGCATAATAAACAGCATTTATTTAGTCACAGTTTAGTGTAGTGTTTGATCTAGTAAGTGACTTTACTTGTGAATTCAGTGCTTTTTAATTAAATATAGTGCTCCCGTCAGGGAGTACTATAAATTATCACTCCACAATACCAATTGTGGAATCATTTAACATCATTCACGAAGACCAAAATAATTCTACTCAACTAGTTCTGAACCAGATGACTACAAAAAGAAATAACGATGATGCAGTAAACAGATCAACATCGTCGGATCCAACTCCCATTCCATCAACAAGTAATTTGTCTTCAATAGCAACAATGGATCCAGAGTCCACTGCACGCGATGTGATTGATTACACGAATAAAAACCCATGGCAAGAGGTAACTTCCGCTAAAAGACGTCGCCCGAACAACGCAGTAAGTAATGAAAGCGTTCCCATAAAATTAGCCAACAAATTCAGCGCTCTAGAAAACAAAGTTTCTAAACCATCAGACGAGGCAACAGATAATAAAAAATCTACTCCTCCGCCTTTATTTGTCTACGGGGTTCGAGATTACAATCTTATGATAGCGGATATTAATTCAATTATTAATAAAAACAAATACATCACTAAATACCTACCCAATAAAACTATTAAATTCAACATTTTTGAAATAGAAGACTACCGCAATTTTGTTAAATTTCTGCGTGAAAGAGACGTCGTTTTTCATACCTACCAGATAAAAGCGGAACGCTCATACAGGGTTGTACTCAAATATCTGCACTACGCCACAGATAAAAATGATATCAAAGCCGCAATTGAAAAAGAAGGTCATCCTGTCAGAAATATTACTAATATCATGCATCCGAAAACTAAACAATTGCTGAACATGTTTTACATAGACTTAGAACCCAAAGAAAACAATTCGTCAATTTTTAAAATGAATAAAATGTTAAACCAAATAATTCATTTTGAGCCCCCAATAAGATCATCTAATATTCCGCAGTGTGTAAGGTGCCAAATGTACGGCCATACCCAGCGTTATTGCAACCGCAGATTTATATGTGTAAAATGCGGCTCTGATCATGAGTCTAAAAAGTGTACAAAAGCAGCTGAAGCCCCGCCCCTTTGTTATCATTGCGGCGATAATCATACCGCAAACTACAAAGGGTGTTCTTACTACCTTCACCTTGTCGGTGCAGATAACGATCAAGCAACAATAGGCAGAAGTAACGGGACTTATTTACACACAAATGCAAACCGGTACAAATCCAACCTTCACAACAATAGAATTTCTCAGTACGCAAATCCTCAGCATATGTCTTATGGTCAGGTAATAAAATCGCAATCAAACCTATTTAACAACAATCAAAATCACATTAACAACAGTAATTCTCCATCGATGTCTGATTTCCTGACTGAATTTAAAAATATGTTTAGCCAGTTAATGGAACAAAACACCATGATTGTCAAAATGTTATCAACATTAATCAACATTAATAAAGCTAAATAATGGCTAATATTTTAAACTTAGGATTATGGAATGCTAACGGCTTGTATCAACACAAAGCCGAAGTAGAATTATTTTTGAGACACAACAATATCGACATCTTTTTAATTAGTGAAACACACTTCACCAAGTATTCAAACTTTTATATACCAAATTACAAGACATACTTCACTAACCATCCCGATGGCACCGCACATGGTGGGACTGCCATTATTGTAAAATCTAATCTTCTTCATTACGAACTGGATAAATACGAATCTGAAATTTTGCAAGCCACATCAATTTCATTAAAAATGAATTCATTCAACTTATGTGTTTCTGCAGTCTATTGTCCGCCGAGGCACAATATAACCAGTTTACAATTTCAAGATTTTTTCTCTACACTAGGTAGTCATTTCATCGCCGGCGGAGACTACAACAGCAAACACGTCAATTGGGGCTCAAGATTAAATAATCCCAAAGGAAAACAGCTATATGATACAATACATAAACTCAATTATAGTGTTCTTTCTTCAGGTTCCCCCACCTACTGGCCGAGCGATCCTGCCAAAAAACCAGATCTATTGGACTTTTTTGTATCATCGGGTATAAGCTCAATTCACAAGGAAGTACGAGCAAGCTACGACTTATCATCTGACCATAGTCCAGTAATAGCCAGCATAAGCACTTCGGCAAGTATTTTTAAACCCTCCTCTAGGATCTGCAACCATAAAACAAACTGGGACATCTACCGGAAGTTCGTAGAAGACAAAGTTAACCTCAAAGTTAAACTTAAAAATTCCGCTGATATCGAAAACACCATCGATTCCTTTAATACTCTTCTATACGATGCTGCAAAGTTTGCTACTCCTACTCCTGTTACGACAGAAAACTCCTGCCAGACAACAACATATGAAATAAAAAGGCTCATAGCAGAAAAAAGAAAAGCTAGGCGTAGGTGGCAACATAGTCATTTGCCCACAGACAAAAACATTTTCAATAATCTGAGCAACAAGTTGAAAGCAAGGTTAAAGGAACTCAATCAAGTGAGATTTAATAACTATGTATCCAGTTTGAATCGTTTTGACAATTCTATCTGGAAACCCGTCAAAAATAAACTTAAACCTAACTTTCAAAATCCTCCAGTTCGTATGGATACCCAGACCTCTGCATGGGCAAGAAGTGACAAAGACAAAGCAGATATATTTGCGGAATACTTAGCTACAGTTTTTCGGCCTAACAATTTATCAAATTATAATGTCAACATTAGTCCTGCTTTAGACCATAATAGCAGTCACGAAAGCGAGAAACGTTTCTTGTCTCTCAAATTAGTAGTTAGTGAAATAAAGAAAGTTAAAGCAAAAAAATCGCCTGGAATAGACCAAATATCTCCCAGAATGCTCAAAGAATTGCCTGTAAAAGGATTCATTATAATCACCTATATCTTCAACGCTATTGTGAGACTTGACTACTGGCCAAATCAATTCAAGACCTCTTTAATAAAGATGATTCCAAAAACTGGCAAGGATCAACACTTAGTCACATCTTATAGGCCAATCAGCCTTCTTCCTATATTGTCAAAAATTTTAGAAAAACTGTTACTACAAGATATTCTGAAGGAATCCAATATCTTCCCTGATCACCAGTTTGGATTTCGTAAAGAGCACTCAACCATACAGCAGTGTCACAGGATTGCCAGTCATATCTATAACTCATTCGAATCCAAACAATATTGCACCGCCGTCTTTTTGGACGTCAAACAAGCATTCGACAAAGTGTGCCACGACAGACTCGTCACAAAAATTAGACTCTACTTACCAGTAAAGTATCATAATATCTTAACATCATATATTGTCAACAGAAAGTTTATAATCAAGGTTAATTCCTCGTCGTCTGACGTATTTCCTATCAAGTCAGGGGTACCGCAGGGAAGTGTGTTGGGTCCATTCCTATACACCCTGTTTACGCGCGATATTCCTACAACATCTATTACCACAATCGCCACTTTTGCAGACGACATATCAATCTTATCCACTGATGACAACCCTAGTACTGCTTGTTTAAAACTGCAGTATCATCTTAATTTGATTGAAGATTGGACCAAACTGTGGAACATAGGCATCAATGAGTCTAAGTCTAGCCACATTACTTTTACTCTTAACAAACAATCGTGTCCTGCAGTGTTCTTAAATGGCAATCAAATTCCAACAGTCAGCACCATCAAATATCTTGGAATTCACTTTGACGAAAAACTCACCTGGCGACATCACATTTGCACTAAAGTTAAGCAAATGAAAACGCGAGTTAAAGAACTCGGCTGGCTCATTGGACATAGATCCAAATTATCTCTTGAAAACAAGGTCCTTATTTATAATATGATAATTAAACCGTTGTGGACTTATGGTCTTCAGATTTGGGGCTGCTCAAGCAAATCAAATATTGCTCTTATACAACGGATGCAATCAAAAATTACTCGTTTGATCACAGGAGCACCCTGGTACGTAACTAATCAGATGATCCATAAC